GCGAGAGTTGAGCGAGTCTATTCTGTGCGTGGCGGTTGCCGCGAACGGTTGTCTCTAGCGTGGGTCCCCAGTGCGTGGCACCGCGGGCTGCGCGCCGGGGGCCCTCGTGGTTAGTCAAGCTTTGGTGACGTCGCCTTTGGTATGTTAAGGCCAAACCTCATAACCACGGAAATGCTCGCGACAGCGACGAACGACGCGACGTAGATTGCCTTCGCGGAAACAGTCTCTAGCGCTGGCAAACCATATTTACGCGACGGCTTCGGCGAGCGAATTCCACCGTTGCTTGCATGAGGCCGTCTACTTGTACCAAGGAAACCACGTAGTGATAGGTATGCAATTTAAAAATGATATATTGCGGGGTAATGGAACGGAAAGCGTTTATTATTGCCTTGCAGCACTTTTTTATGTGCACGTGCATAAACATTACGTTATTTCTTCGTTGTGCATGCGTGACTCGGGTTGAGAGGTGAGTGTGAGGAGGCGGCGATTTCGCGGCACATGAAGAGAACCGGCAGTACGTCATTCACGTAGATCCTGTTCCGGTGCTTTGAGCACAGCACTTCCGGGCGATGGGCGATGGTTTCCGAATCTGGATGACCGAGCGATCGCGCGAAAACTACCACGTGACACGTCGCGCGAACGCCCTGTTTCGTCTCTCATAGCATCGCTCGTCGCTGGCACGTGCATTTTCGCGTTTATGAGGTTTGGCCTTTATTGTGTTTGTCATGGCATTGTGTTTGTCATGGAGTGTATGGTAATATTGGGTAAGGATGTCCTAGCGTGTTGATAACGATTGATGTATTGATTTGGCGGACGATATTGTCGTTCTAAATTAGTTAAATAAAGGTATGTTTTTTTGGTTTGTACCGACCGCGTCTGCTGTGTCCGTTCACTCCAACAGTGTGGTGGCGATTACAACCCCCAGACCCCACAACCTGTGCAGATGGCTAATTAACAGTCATGTCGGATTACATTGCATCTTGTCAAGACCAACATAATTTTGTCATTTCGGTCTTTGCGAATTCCAGCAGGTTTTACGGTGCGCATTGACTTGTACAAATTGAACATAGCTGGTCGCGGCACGATAGTAGGCCTGCTTCCAGTAGTAGCTCCCGAAATGACGCGTGTTTCATATTTCTGATATAATGTTTAGTGCCATGCGCTGGACGTCACTTTATCAGCGACATTCGACTGGGCATTCGACATTGACTGAACATGTGCTAAAACGTCTCGCCCTCTTTCTCGGGATCTTCAAGTTTGCACCGAAAGCATTGAAGGAAACCTGGCATCTTCCTAATATTAGGTGTGTGCGTTGGAATTCGTACGCGGAGCGTGAGGCCCCTTCAGGATTGTTCATGAACGTAAGTTAGAACGTGTCTAGAAAAGTGCTGCAAGCTCCGTCGTGGGTATATAGGAGTACACATTGTAGACACAATCCTAAGCGGAACTGTGATGCGTATTTTCCGATATGTGGACGATTTTTTAGTTGTTATAAAGGATGTCACGTTCCCGGATATTGTTTCCAATGTGTTGAAGGTGTTGAGGTCAGAAGGCATGGGTTTGTCCTTCACATCGGAGGTTCCAGAATCCGACTGTCTACAATTTCTCGTTCTTAAACTTCGGTTTCAGAGTTCCCATATTTGCTGGTGTTTTGAGCCACGATCAGTGAAACCAATTCTCAATTTTGGATCAGCCCACTCAAAGGTGGTAAAGAGGGGCATCGCTTTCACCTGCCTTAAATCCACTCTAGAAAAATCGTGCAGGCATGTGTTGGGTTCGAGTTTTGCTAAGCAAGTTGCAAGACTAGAGGAAGCAGGATTCCCCCCTAACATAATTGTGGCTGTTTGCGATAAGTTAATTGGTGGTTTAAAAGGACGTGCAGCTAGCAAAATCAATCGGAAAAAAATGAAGTTCGCAGCAATTCCTTATATGCATAAACTGGCTCATGGGTTAAAAAATGTTGGTTCCCGCTACGGAGTTGATGTGGTTTTTAGGGCACCCAATAAATTGGGAAAGATATGTGCATTGGTGTCAAATCAGCTAGACAAGAAGGACAAGCCAAATGTAAATAAATGTGCTGTAAACCATAGAAATAAGTATGTGCCTTGTGCTGTGGGGGTGGTGTACCGCATTCCTTTATCTTGTGGTCTTCATTATGTGGGACAGACGGGCCGCTGTGTTAATAAAAGGTTGTGGGAGCACTATCTCTCTTTGCATAACGGCACGCCTTCCCATTTGGCTTCGCATTGTGCCACGTGTGGGTGCACACCTGATCTGTCTAACACTGTTATTATTTTTAAGCACCACGATCAATTCACCCGTGAGGTGTCTGAAGCCTATCATATTAACAAGTCACGTGATGCTTGCGTAAGCCAGACCTCGGTTACATTGCACAAAGAAGAGTTCACTTTTATTGATGAGCGTATCTCTTAATCTCATTGTACCTCACTTGTCATGCGCGGCTTTTACTATTTAAATTCTTGTTGCTCGGATTAAACTTTCAGTTGTGAGTGCAGCGCTGTGTGTGGTTCTCTTCTTTGTCTCCGTCTTTTTGTGCGCCGCTTTTCTTTTAATATGAAGATACACCAACTCGCCCAACTTTCTATTCTGTTATAGGAATACAAACTCAGATGTTCACAAATAAGAAAACAAAATGTGAAATGGACGTTTCCGCCCACTCGCAGAAAACTCGGGTTAGAACATTAACACAACATCTAGAGTGGTGAAACGGGAATCGATAAGGGCAAGTACTTCGAACTTCATTACCAGTCCAAAGAAGAGCATGATTTAAATATAGTAAGGTCCTGCCAGTGTCCTATCAATGCATTCGCGATTTCATTCTTTCCTCGAAAAACTGAAGAATCGAACATGCTTCCGAATGGGATAATGTCTGCCCCACGTTTTACATCTGTAATAAAAAAATTGCCACAGTCTTTTAGGTAATACTTTCTGTGTTTAATTTTGTGTAGAATGAAAGAAAAAAAATAATGGAACGTTTTATGCTTAACATTGAAAGTGCTGTCTTCTTCTTTTATGGCGATGGCTTCGTTTTAGTACCCTGGCTGTTTCGATGCTGCTGTCTGGGATATTCTCTTTACAATTTAATATTTGTAATTAATCACCACGATAATCCTAAACTCAGGCGACATGGGTATTAGAAGTAAATGAATCATTGTACACTTCGGTGGCTTTTTGGGTAAAACAAAAACAAGGGAGACTTTGAACAGACTCTGAAATTTAGTTTTCTTATAACAAGCGTATTTTGTCTTCTTTCTTTTTCTGGGAGAAGGGAAAAGAAGGCTTGGTACATTTACTTTCGAATTCTTCAATTTATGTAAACAGTGTCATGTTAATTCATGCTTGATTTGTAAGAGCTACATCTATGAACTTCACACTTATATATATATATATATATATATATATATATATATATATATATATATATATATATATATATATATATATATATATATATATATATAAGGCGAAAGAGGTGTATACTTCAGGGGTCGTTTTTTCATGTTTTGACAAAATAATAATGAGATCTAACAGACAATATTACCAAAGAAAGTATAGCGGAAGTTATTAGACAGAATCGTAATGTAAATGTGAAGAAAGAAAAGTAGGTGAAAAGATAACTTGCCGTCGTGGGCAGGAACATAGCTTGAGCTAGCGATGTAGCAACACACGGTTATAAATTAGGTCCTCCAGAAAACTCGTTTATGTTTCTCCAGCTCTTGACATAATAATTTTGTAATAATTATGCGATGTTGTTAGGCTGCTTCATTGCCGCGCTCGCCACTCCAGGTGCGGGTTGCTGACTACATGGTGTACTCAGTGATCACATGCACCCACAGATAACATGTACCTCACTACTCATGCCTGTATCGTGGTAACCAAACTACGTCGGCATTGTATCTCATCACAACTTGACATTCCAGCCAGCGTTTTAGGACACTGGAGAACGGTAATATCGGGTTCTTGGAACATTTTAAAGCGAATAGATATTGTGAAAACTTCTTACTGTTGACGTTAAGTGCAAATGCTCGTCGTTTCTTTCTCTCTCATCTTTCCGTTTCCCTTTGCCCTCTCGCCAGCCTAACGTAGCTAACCAGATGCTCTTATTATTAAGGTACTTAACTTCTATTTTCATATAGATATATATGTAAGGGCGCAGTTGGCTACTAAGAGCAGCCGACCTATTGCCGACGTGTTCGTCAATCGGGAAAACTCGCAGCCAACAACTGGTAGTCGGTCGTCGATCAAGTCCACTGGTGCTTACGTTGCTATCAAAATGTGTAGGTTCACATCGCCACGAGTTCAGACAAAGTGGTGCATGCTTTTCACATTGTGGCTAAATAAAGTGATATCGGAATCTAAATTCATATCAGGAAGGAAAGAGGAAGCAACAAAAGGGCGAAGGCAGGGAGGTTAACCAGAAAGACATCCGGTTGGCTACCCTACACTGGGGGATTAGGGAAGGGGACAAGAAATTCATATCAGGGTTGAAATTTTACGGCCGTGCCCGGCTAACAAAAATTTTGCAGTTTGCATCTTCGTAAATAGGGCCGGGGGGCAGGCCGAAATTTTTTTCGGGGTTGGGGACACCTCCTTGATTCCGGAGGAGAGGCAGGCGTCAACTTTTTATGCGATGTCAAAACAAATTTCGGCATGAGGGCACGGACCCGGTGCGCCAAACTCTGGTTACGCCACTGAAGCCAGTGTTCGAGAGGCAGTAAAGACCTGTGTTATTGAACCGTTTGATTGAAAAAAAGTATGCTTTAAAAACACTGGTTTAAAAACAGCGATTTAGAACATCGGAAACATCTACTTAGAAAAGAAAGCAGCCTAGAAACATTATGCCCAGAGGCCCTGATGTGTAAAGCTTCACATTTGACGCAGTATAAAAAAGGGAAGAAACTTACCCTGACTCGCGGCTGGCTGAGATACACTGGTTCCTTATTTGGGACAGCTCGAGGTGCAGACAGAGAATCCCCGACTCCGATTCTTTAAAACACTTTATTATTTCGAGAGTCATGGCGCAGAAGTACATTAGTATACAATAACAAAAAAGCACAACTACACTCACATTACTGTATTAATTCACATTTTCTCTAGAAATATACTTGTACGAGTATCGACAACTACTCTTCGCTCTTCGTCTTACACATATCTCCGTTTAGATTCCAAATGCGTGTGTTACGATTGAGGTGTGTGTGTGTGCGCGTGCGTGTGTGTTTGCTGAGCTATACGAAGTTGTAGATGATTTTTTTTCCCCTCTATGTAACGGTCTTCGCAGCATGTACAAAAAGCAGGTAATAAGCACGCTCGTGGTGTCTATGTACTGCGTAACACAATTCTTTGGCCACGTTGGTTTACACATTTTGTGCCCACACGCACGTCGACGGGCTCAATCTACTTTTGGAAGACTTGCGGCCTGGCCCAAATAAGTTCATTGCAGCTACGCCGGCCACTACGAGACACTATCTAGTGTATGTACGTATGTATACGGACACGAAAGCGATGCAACAGTTCACAACTTACTACACGCTGTGTTGTTTGCTGGCGTTTGGCAAAGATTATTCTAGGTCTTGTGCTTGTGATCACTGTTTTACGATGAAGTGCTCAGTTCAATAATGTGATGTGATATTTTACAATGGACAGATACACAAAGATATGCATTCATGCCTACAAGAGAAAGTAGTGGATATGAAAGGACAAAAAAAAAAAAAACACCGGCGAGCACTGAACAACTAAATTAGGTCAACATTACAGTCTCATTAAAAAAAAAATCTGGTAGTGCATTGTGACCTACCTGCACGGAATGTTGCGTGAATTATTTCACAATAGCAGAAGAACATGTATTATGCAGTAATACATTTGAGGACATCGCCCGATTCTAAACGGTTTTTAACCTTGTTTTCTTAACAGACGCTTGACTTACACAGAGAGCCGTGCTTATAAGTGTTTTCGCATCTGCAATAAATAAGTGTGTTGTAACTTGTCACGAGACGCCGCTTCAATATGGAGGGTGTTTAAGTACACCATTTGTGAGATTTCTGTCAAATTTTTGTGCACTTGATCACACTCATCCGACAGTTTCTGTCATGTTAGTTTTCTTTTCTTCCTTACAGCTATAGATATGTATGCATACACATAGCATCAATGTGCTGTCTCTCATTTCAAATGACTCGCACGTATAAAGCACGCCTAACAGTTTACGTGGCTTCCAAAGAAGCATAACAGAATGTAAGGTTTTTCCCGCCAATATCAGTGAATCTGTACAACTGATAAAGAAAGCACCATACAATCCAGACGTCGGTGTTTCTTAAATGTTTCATCATTCTGGGTATTCTACAGCACTATCAACGCTCTAACATATTCATGCACTCACTTAGCAAAATACGAATATACTAGAGCAGTTTTTTACATTATCGATGACCAGTCTAAGCATGGTAGTTCAGCTTTCCCGGTATAGACAACGTGATTCTGTTCTCACAAGGTCTACGTAATGACAAATCATATCCAAGCGCACTAGAAGCACTAATGACGTGTTGTCGTAGCAAAAGACACACAAAATACTTTTTATTGCAAAGGTAGCCGCTTCTGAAAAACGACAGGGCTACAGACACTTCTAGAAAACCAAACTATACGCAGTAAACATTGTATATGGGACTCCAGATAATCGCGCGTACAATGCTTATGTAGTCCGATACTTGCCTTCATGTGTCTCTTTTAGCATTTCGCAAGTGGTACTAAAAGGCCCGATTTCTTTTCGATCAGTAGGAGTTATCATAACGCCAGAAGCTGACACGCTGTAGCAACATTCTGGCCGTTTCAACGCCTACAAATACCACGTTTTTTTCTTTCTTTACTTGGGGCTGCAACAGGCACTCATTGAATGCATTGCCATATTTCAAGCTTTATGTAAAGCGAATCAAGGCTTGAAAATCTTCATCTCCGGCCGTAGCATCCTTACGTCTACCTGTCAGTACAAAGTCAATTCAATCTAATGAATACGAAATGAACTCACCTTGAAGCGACACTCTTTTACTGACACGAATATAGCAGTCAAAGTAAGCACAGTTCAACCTTCTCCGAGTTGATGTTCTCTTTTTGTTTAACGTGTCTGTATTTTTCCCTCATACACGTAGTTGGAACCTTTATTAAGGTGTGCCATCAGCCGGTGCTTCTACAGTGACCTTGTTGGCAGCGGCTTCCTTCGCCACGGGCCAATCCAACGAAAAGTGGATTGCGAGCGGGCGCCGTCCTTCTTGCTTTGCCTTCTGATATTGATTTTTCATGATACGCCGTAACACTGAAAAAAAAAAGCAACAGAACACGAACATACCGTGCGGAACGGGCAGTCAGTATACAAGTTCGTGCCCCTCCAGACCTCGTTTTCTTTTCAGTTCTGAGGACCTGGAGGACCCACAACATGCACGGAAACACTCGTGGTCTGCAGTCTTTGCGACACAGCAAACACACTGGGGAGCAGAGCGAAGCGGCGGGGAGGAATCAGAACACACACACACACGGGGGCATATACCGCCTGAGTCGGCAAACAGGCTTGCGGTCCAACGGCGAGGAATGGCCGAAGAAAACGAAGGAGACCTATGGTAGATAACATGCATGACGCAGCAATTCTGTCGTCGCTGTCGGTGTGTGCGCAAGTCGGCGCCGGAGCTTCTTTCTTCGCGCTGATTACCAGGAAAATGACGTACACTTTACTAAACTAGGCGCAGCCGGGAGATAAAAAAGTTGAGAGAGGCGTGCGGCACCGTGCATTGAACGAGGTACAAATCTTTTCGCCGTTAGTGACGTACACGTCGATGCCGAAGCCGGTGCTGTCAGTCCTGATACCAGGGCAGAGACTACATTTTCGCTGCGGCAGCAGCGTGGTTTGCCGGCAACCGATAATGAAATTGTCAAGTACGTTGTGACCTGGTAGCATGACGCATTCATTTTCCCACATACACCGACGAGCACGTGGACGCCGAAGCTGCAGCTGCCATAACGCCACTTCCTGGCCGGGTCCATCTTCGGCTGATTGCAGATGGGATTTCCAGGAAGCTTTCTTATTTAGTTTTACTGGACGATTTTCTTTGTAGATGTAAGCAGTGAAGACAGATGCGCAGAACATCAATGCTTATATGGGGTGCCGGACTGAAGTGCACAGCACAATAGTAAGACACGCGTACTTATCACGTCACGGCTTGCCGCTGGGAGAACATTTTACTTTCAGTAATGATCGCTGCTTCGTGCCCCGAATAATACGCCCGTTGGCGCAGGCATTCTTAAGCATAGTTACCGTGAACCTATCTTATACATTTAGACGATTCCTCTGGTGCCGCCTGGTTTCTCATACCTGAAGCTCAGTGATCTCCGTGTCACCGCGCGTCATTTGTATGCAGTGACCACGATGGCTGCGCGACGCGTGTTCTCAGCAGGCACACACTCTTTACAGCTGGAAGTTGTGCATGGACGTGGAGTACTCGGAGCGGTAGTTTGGGGCGGCGTTTTGACCGCCCTTGGAGCGCGTCGTCCGGTGCGAGTATTCGGAGAACCTGTCGGCATCGTGCTGAGACGGCACCAGACCGCCGCCTGGCTGAGGCATCAGCATCACGGGTTGCAGATTCATGGACTTGCGCGACGCTGTCGACTGGTTGTCTGCCATGAAGGCGCTGTTCACCTCCCCTGCGTCGGACAGACAAGAAAAAAAAAAAAACGACGACGAATGAAGTGCACTGTAGCCAGGTGAGTGGCTAATAGATTCTATAATCAGAAATGGTCTTACAAGGGGAACTGGACGAATAGCGCGAGCTTTATGTCAGTGTTTCTTATTAACCAAGTATAAAACGACCGCTATTACGTTACGCGTGAAAACACAAAAGTCTACAGCAATGCACAAAAAAGAAAACACTTCTCTCGACGTTCTTACCAAGTGGCACGTTCACACCGACCGCTGGGGGGGCTGAATAGTTAACGTAACGTCTGAATGGTGTGAAGGATGTACGGAAAAGATAAACAAAAATGTTATGAAGCTAATAAGTGCCTTCGTACTATTAACAACTGAAGTACACCCGCAGTCTTCTTGAAGTGACCACATGTGCGATAACAGACATAGTTCTTCTTGCATAGGTTATAATAATAATAATAATAATAATAATAATAATAATAATAATAATAATAATAATAATAATAATAATAATAATAATAAAAAGAAGCACGTACTTTGCTACATAGAATACACCGAGCCTATTCAGCCACATACTCAAAGCAAGCGGATGACAGTCTGTAATCATTTGCTAAATAATAATTGATGAAAGCACGTCCAAGCACGTGCAGTACGCCATATGATCAGGCTGTGACGACCAGAAAAATCTGTTCACACTATATGCGCTCACAGTTATTTGAGAAATATTCGAGAGAAAAAAAAACCGGTGAGCATTTTTTTGACCAGTATACGTGTGCGGTGACATCGATATAACGAAGGCGAACAAATCGAATAGGCCCGAAACTAAGAGGCTTGCATGACGTGTATACCCTACTTTCTAAAGCCTATAGGTTAGTTAAACATGCGCATCAAGAGCTTCATCAAGCACCTTTATCTTTGAGAGTTGAGCGCAAGGAAACACAAACACATGTGGTATGAGTGTGTTCACCTGTGCCCTCTATCTTTGTGTTTGTTTCCTAGCGGATTTTAATGACACAAAAATAACTACACTCTAAAAAAATATCGAGTAAAAAGGGTGTCTTTTTGTCCCACAACAATAATCGTCATCAGGCTTGCGCGCATTTTCTTTCTTGAAAACTCGGCGCTGGCCACTTTCCTATCGAGAATGCAATTTAATCCTGATAATGGGCATGTCGATCGTGACCGGAATTTACCGGGCGCGGGGCGAGAGCGCAAGGATGGAACGCAATATAGAGGACGATTATTGTTGTGGGACAAAGAGACACCCTTTTTACTCGCTCTTTTTTTAGAGTGTAAAGCTATCATGTTTCAAGCGAAAGGTGTTTTTGTTTGCCTCGTGACTTTTTTTTTCTTCCGGGTCACACATCAGCTGTTAAGCCTCATTGTACGCTCTAACTTCCGCTTGATTTATCGCGTTTTATATTTTTCCTTCGTCCGTAACATCACATCAGACATATCCAGTCAAAATCCTTTTGTGAAACGAAACCTTGCTGTTCTTCAAGAGGAACGTCGCTGGCAGTAACGCTGCAAGGGGCGCAGCACAGGCGTCACTCGTGCGAAGACAAAAGGGCGCGTTGAAATGAGAGCTATATACGAGTCGGGTTCGGCGATACAAATAGCACGACGAGTTCATTCCTGTTCCCGAACAATGGACCGTTGGACGATGCCTCCGCCCCTGCGTTTTGTGGGGCAGGTAGCTCCTCCGGCCCCGCAGGGGTATTCAATGAGCCAGAAATAACGGCTTATGCGCGTCGGTGCAGCACCTCGCCTGTGTAACTGGTAGGTGCGACAAGCGACCGGGACCTGCGCCCACGTTTGGTTGTTTTGTACAGCGCTTCAAAACGGCTGGTTGCTTGAAATAAGTTTCATTGGTGGCGGCTGCTCACATAACGAAAACTTCGTGATCACACATACGATCTGATGACTGATTGATTTGTGGGGTTTAACGTCCCAAAACCACTATTTGATTATGAGAGACGCCGTAGTGGAGAGCTCCGGAAATTTCGACCACCTGGGGTTCTTTAACGTGCGCCCAAATCTGAGCACACGGGCCTACAACATTTCCGCCTCCATCGGAAATGCAGCCGCCGCAGCCGGGAATCGAACCCGCAACCTGCGGGTCAGCAGCCGAGTACCTCACACATACGATCTATAAAAAGCGATATGACGATGTGCAATTAACGCGTGTCATCTCATTAAAATGTTTAATAACACCAGTAAAATAATTATAACATTTTACAACCGTAAATTACGATATAATTTTGAGGGACGCCATAGTAGAGGACTCGGGAACCTCCGGACTACCTGGGGTTTTTCAACGTGCACCTGAATTTAAGAAAACGGGTCTCATCTATATGATTTCCCCTCCATTCCGTGACCTATTCATGAGGCCACTGCTCTGGTATAGCAGAACCTGCCACCCTATATCACACTTGAGTCACAGAGGAAATAATGAAGGAAGAATATGGCACAGCCCTGTGCAAAAAGTACTTTGCAGCAGTGCACCTGGTAATTAGAACTACACGCAGAAATTTCAGCTTGCTTATTCGAAGCCAGGTTTAGAGCTGCGAGCTATGGCATTAATACTTCAATAGAACAATGTAAATTGTAAACTGGACAACCAGACTCTTTCTAAAGAAAGAATCCAAAGAATCCTGCGCTACCGACAGGACTTTATGTCGCAGAAGAAGGCTGTAAAGGTGCTCCTGCGCTTCTTGAGCTCAACCAGCTTGTCCAAACGACTGTGATCGGAACGCCCTGCAAGTGTGTGCATGTGAAGTTTTTAAATAATTTATTTTATATCTCTTTATCTTTATCCTCATTCCGACCCCTATTTTCCCACCCCTGTGCAGGGTAGCAAACCAGTTCTTCTAGGTTATCCTCCCTGTATCTTCCGTTTATTTATTTCTCTTTCTTGTGGGTGTTGAATTGTCCGTCGATGTAACAAGCGCCTTTGTGCTCTGCTGCTAATTTTCGGCTGTCAGTTCGATCCTCTACCTTCAGGAGGACAAGAAAAAAAAAGCTAAACTCAATCACAAAATCTCTCTATGTTGTAGGCCCGTGTGCTCAGATTTGGGTGCACGCTAAAGAACCCCAGGTGGTCAAAATTTCCGGAGCCCTCCACCACGGCGTCTCTCATAATCATATGGTGGTTTTGGGACGTTAAACCCCACATATAAATCAATCACAAAATCTCAGAGAGGAAACGAATGTGTATTCAAATTTCTATGCGCCCGGGAGCTAGATTATCTGTGCTCTATTGTGCTAGTGCATTGTGCTGGGTGGTGCACATCTTGAAAAAAAGTAATGCACATTAGCTTTAAAGGATCTCTAGAGAGAGTTTGGAAATACAAATAAGCAGCGCGTTATTATCCCCTGACGTATCCCGTTTTCTGGCCACATTTCGTGACGTAAACTTGATGATGAACATTAAAGCCATTAGGCTATAACCTTTCTATTTTTCAATATAAGATTGATATCAGTCGAGATTTGCATGATACGTGGTTTTCACATACTGTCCCACAATCGTCTATCCTGAATCGTCTGTCGGGCGCGGCCAGCTGATTTATTTATTTCTTCTTTTTTATTACGATAAGTCTTGCCCTATAGTGACATATAATACTTTTCGTGAGTATACGTGTATTAGATGTGTCTACAAGGCCTGTGTTATGTATTAATTGAAGCATTGCCTTGTGAAATCATCTGTCCAGCGTTGATAGCTTGTCGTGACATTGTAGTCAAGAGTGGCTTGTAGCAATCGCACGCCTTCATATGGGGGCACCTTCACGTGATTTCGCACTAGGCTAGCGGGGATCACAGTGTGCAGTAAGTGAAGGAACACGACTTGCGCTTGTAGAATGCGAAACAAAGATGATAAGAAAACAGCTTTTTTCGTTTCGAAACAGTGAGTTGTTTTGGGGACTCATTGAATAGCAGCAGGTTTCCTGTGGCGATTTGTTGATTAGCGGCGTGCCATTAAGTCGAATAAGTGATTGCATTGGTAAGCTAGCATACTCTAGTGAACGACCAGGAATTATTTTCTTGTGTCTCTAGTTTACAGTAGTGGAAAAAATAACACTTATAATAAATGCGCCATAAGTAATCGTAAGGGCCCGCAGTATATAGAGGAACGGAAAATTCCAGCGCACAATGTTCTACTGTTCCCCAGGTAGTCAAAATTTCCGGAGCCCTCCACTACGGCGTCTCTCATAATCATATGGTGGTTTTGGGACGTTAAACCCCACATATCAATGTTCTACTGTTGCACAAAGAGCGGACTATCGGTGTGACGTTCCTCAGTTATTTCACATATATACTCCTTACCGAGGCTAGCCACAGCTAATGCGTTGTTCTTATCGGCTACTAGCGGTGACTGTCGAGCTGGGTTAGTTTCTTTGGCATTAAATGTTCATTTCGCCGTGCTTCAGGACAGTTCCAAGCTTAGAAACGATGGGAAAGATGACGAGATCGAAAGAAATAAGGGAAAGATCTTTATGTTGGCAGTGGCACACGAACGAGCATGGTCCGTCGTGTGGAAACACACGTCATGTTTGCGGTCAGCGGTGGCGTCAGGAACCAACAGCGCGCGTCGCGTAGACCATCGTCTTTGGGTCGTTCTCGAAACGCTTCGCTTCACAGACGTTTTGGGTGAATCACCGCGGGACTTTACACGCCCTTTTTTATCTGCCAGCGAAGGAGCTAATGCAGTGAAGCGTTTCCCTTCGCCGCTGGCGACATGCTGCCCTCGATCTGTTTTTCGGCTCTTCCTTGGCAAGTTTCTGGGCGGATAAATATCAGCGATTGACAGTGACGATATTGTATAAATATAGTAGTGTGAGTAAGCATGGAAAACCAATTTTATTTTTAAACATGCATACGCGCGTGCTCATTCGTTGGTGCGTGTCTAACGTTTCAATTCAGTGTGAAACATAAAACAGGCTTAAGAACACGGGTAGATGTAAATCAGATAGTACACGTGTATGCTGATGTTCAAAGCGCAATTCTCGATAGAAACCCTACATTTTCCCGCTTCTACAAACTTAGCCTTATGTACTATCGGCGTCAAATGAAACCTAAACAGTGGCAAGGGTGTGCGATATTGTAGTGCATGTCGTCCAGCCATCACCATGGACAGGCAGGCATATATGCGCACAGCTGCCGAACAGGATGTGCGCGCCTGTCAATGGTGATGGCTGGACGGCATGCACTACAATATCACCAACCCTTGCCGCTGTTCCGCTTTTATGCGATGCTGATAGTATACACTCGAACTTCGACGGCACAAAGCCACATGCAACAAAATATTGGTTATAACGAAGTAAATGAACACTCTTGAAATAGTTATAGTGTTAGAAATATGCTTTTATAACGAATTTTCGGATATAATGAACCGTCGTGTGAAGTGTAACTTCGTTATAATGAGGTGTGAGTGTACGTGCAACGTGAGTTGTTTTTTGTTTATTTGCACATGCCAGCCAACACTCCCATCCGGAAAACTCCTTAATTGAGAACTCTCCCTTATACTAACAATTTAGGTGGGCAAAACTGTCAGACTCGTGAAAAGATCAAAATTGCACATGAAGATGACGCCACGGGTTTAAACGAAGTTTTCATAAGAGGCAAAAACTGTTTCGGCAACCCAAGGTAATCAACGGTCAGGACTCCCTTCAGCGGCAAAAAATAACGACACCGCGCCTATCCACACCACCTCAGCTGCCATGTACTTCCTGACCAAACGTGGCATAACACATCTACCTTAACCACCTTAGAGCCTAGATGACACTCCTTTAGATTTCTTTTCGTTCGCCCGACTATAAAGGGTCATTAAAGGATGACAGCCTGACTCCGTTTTTCCTTTCAAGATGCCGTAACTACGGAGCTTAATAGAATTCTAGTTTCCGCGTTTCAGGGAACATTAGGTGACTGGAAAAGTCAGTTCTAACGCTGTCTTGATGCAGAAAAGGCATATCTTGAAGACTATTAGCTCGATGTGTGGACATTGTCAATAACTTTTAACCTATCAGTCCTGTACTAATTCCCGGACAAAACGTGTGCACACACATCGGTTATACAACAGCGGTCATGTATATACCCTTGTAGACGGATCCGTTGGAGATGTACTGGTCGGGCAGCAGTTTGACGTATCGCGTGCCCAGCACGAAGGCGAGCGCCGCCAGGACGACGCAGTCGGCGACACCAATGACGGCGAGGATGTAGGCCCAGCGGATGCCGCACTGGCCCGGGTCGTAGTCGCCAGCCTCGGGACCGCATACGTCTCGCACCACGGACACGTCCCAGCCGGCCGGGAAGGTGAGCACGCCGATCACCATGCACACAGCTGCAGCATTCAGAAAACGAGCACAGCACTGTTTATATGGAAACCGCACAGAGACACCGAATAGCGTTCATGAAGTACAGTCGCTGCACCAGGGATCGCTTACGTAAGGACTTTCACATCATGGTGCTCGACAATGCAATTGAGTGAAAACGAACGTCAGCGTAGTTTTATGAATGTCTCCTTAGGGCGTGCGTGCTCCGTCGCGGTGGTGTAGTGGCTAAGGTACTCGGCTGCTGACCAGCAGGCCGCGGGATCGAATCCCGGCGGCGGCGGCTGCATTTCCGATGCAGGCGGAAATGTTGTAGGCCCGTGTGCTCAGATTTGGGTGCACGTTAAAGAACCCCAGGTGGTCTAAATTTCCGGAGCCCTCCACTACGGCGTCTCTCATAATCATATCGTGGTTTTGGGACGTTAAACTCCAGATATCAATCCTTAGGGCGTGCTCTTTAAACTGTGCCCTCCTTAGCGTTAGCTACGGGCACACACCGAAACTTGTATAGCGCACCAAAAAGGACACGGACCGATGAAAATGAAGACGGGCCGATGCGCTTATCGTGTCTACACTTTCTGCATAAGTGTCCTTTTCGTGCGTTACGAATTTTACCATGTACCACCACCAACACACCTAGTATTACAACCTTTTGAGCTCAAGTGAATTTTTAGATAGATGAGCGTTACGATAACAGCCTTTTCTAAAACGGCGGTACCCAGACGCTTCTCCGAAGTAATGTGCACAGCCAACCTATTGTCTTATGAGGAAGGAAGCGGTCAGCTGGCGCTCAAACAATGAATCATTCGTGAAGAGAGAATACTAATTTGCATATCTAGATCACTACAAATAACAGTAAAACTTTTAATCATCAGAGCGCTTTGTGTTCTCGCTTTATTTTTTTACGTGAAGCTCTCGCCACGTGTTTATGGCCGTAAATTCATTACGGGCCGCGAGAGTGCGTTAATAACCACTCTTGAAGCTCAATCATCATTAGGTGATAACTTACAGCCGGGTGCTCTTGTTCGGCCGCGTGCCCATTAAAGGCGGCGGATCAGCTCGCCGCGCAGTGAACCGCACAATGAAGCGTCCGCAGGACGGTCGCCGCAGCGCCGCCGGCACAAGTTGACGGTCCAGGAAAGAGACCGTGGTGCACGTGCAGCAGCTTCCTCGATTCTGCTTACGCACTCGGGATTAGACTTGAGGCGCGCGTACGCATTTTGCGGCTAACGAGCTTCCTGAATGGCTGACATGTCCAATCCTATAGTTCGGCCGGATGGTTCCCTCTATATTTAAACCCTACGTCCGCAGCAGAAAGAGCGAGGAACGGTGACATTTGGCGTTCGCTTGTTAAGGGGACGTCGCCGGACTGCCGCGAACGACGTGTATATTGTTGGCCGACGCCACGGGTAACGGGGTGTGTGCTGAATATATATCTGAGACGGGGAAATGGAACGTCGACTGCTTCCTTTTCACAGGGCCGCGCTCGTGAACGGTTTGTGACAGCTATATAACGTAGACGCTGATCTTATACCTGCCTGGTCTTGGATCGCTGTTATTTTTTTTTTTGAGGTGTAACTTGTGGAACAGGCAACGAAGGAGTCACGAACGTCAGCGGTTCCTCATTAGAAGTTAATTAAACGCGACATTTCGCACGTACCAATGCACTTGTTTAGAATAGCAGCGCACAGCTCTTCATCAGGATTGTAGAAATACTCATGGTAAGCATGACGTCTAATAGGTGTCTGCTAATAAGAGTTGCGTAACCATGACGAATACCAGTTATCTATTGCGTCCTTAAGCAGGAGCGCAGTTGACAGTAGACAGGAAGACAGCAGAGTTAATAGGAGAGCAAACAGTGTGCGGTTGTTGACGGAGATTATTGTTTACAGTATGCGGTGAAAATGGAACTGGGCAGGTAGCCTCATGCGTAGAAGGCAAGAGACACAAAGACCCCCCTTCGCCTACAAGAAGAGATCCATCCGGTGGGGGTAGTGGTGATTTATTCATACTATTTACAAGTAAGAGAGGTATTGGCGGCCTTAAGGCCCGACCCTGTATAACTCCAGAGTCCCAAGTCCAAGACCCCTGTGGCTTCCGCTGCAGCACGTGCCCTGGCCACGAGGGCTCTTTGACCCTCCAAGGCCGAGCAGGGCAGCTGCCCAGCTCCGTCGGGTAGGGGGTGAAGGGGAAGTGATTGGGGGGACCGCCGGGTTAGATGGTGAGACAGACCATTTTACCGTGCACTTTATATAAAGCGAACGCCGTTTTTGTAGCGTAAGCTGCACTGGCCGAAGTTGAGCAGTTTTGCTTGGCTTATCGAGGGCCGCGTTGCGCATGCTCGAGGAGCCGTGATGCCACACGCGGCACAGTTGGGGCACCAGAGAAGGCCTGGAAGCTCCTGGAGTGACGTGACGTGAGCTGGCACTTGACTAGCGCCAGCTCGCGTGCTAGTCCGCCCGTCCACCCATCCGTCCGTCCACCCTTGCGTCTCTTTGTCTGTCCATCCGTCCGTTCTTCTGTAGCTCACGCTACGTATGTCCTTGCATAGCCACGCTAAGCTAAGCGACTGCAAACTTTTTTATTCTCTTAATCACGCGAACACCGCAAATATGAAGCAACCGCGCGGCTAGCGCGCTTGGATCTACGAGATGAGCTATACGAGAGACCGCTAATACGCTACCCACATTAACCGTTGGCTGTCCTTATACAAATCTCCACGGCGTGTAAAAAAAGCCTTGTATATGCGGCTAGTGATATTGTTCACGAGTCTCGCGTGCTGAATAAACTTCTTGAGCTGACAGCGCTTACTAAAGCCCGCATCTTATCACTTCCGCCATGTTTGCGAGTAAAGAAGGCGCGCTCACTTTGGTTTTAGACAATGCGTTCGAACGCGCGGCAAACGAGGCACCTCAATAAATAGAAAACGCCGGCTATAGACGAATTCCACCGGACTTACGTGACGAAAATGCGGTGGCGCTGTCTTGGTAGGCAAAAGACGCTCTGCCTATCGCAGTTTCTGCTGGGTTTTCAATGGTGCATGTGGTGTTCTCAGTCAAGCAGCGAGAAAAAAAAAAAAAACGGTATGCCGGCAAACTGCGTCGCGGTTGGATGCGAGTCGCGTCTCACAACTTAGTTTTGTTTGTTGGCGCACATCGCAACCCTCAGCGCTTATGGCGGAAGTTACGCGAGGACGTCGCTATAGTTTTACCCATAATGTCGACATCGGCCTACCTGTGTTGACAAACAAAGAATGGGCATAAAGAGACCGAAACGTCCGCTATATCAGCCGTCGCGGAAGTTCCAAGACAACGAGACTCGATTGCGGTAGAGTGGACGCTGCCATCTGAGTAATCACTCACGCTCGAGATTTAAACAAACAAACAAACAAACAAACAAACAAACAAACAAACAAAAGATATAATAGATGCATTAGTCGCACGCGACGCGATGCCACAGATATTGCGATCCGTCCGATGCAAGATCGGGAAAAACGGATCTCTTGAGAGGGCTATGCGCTTCGCACGCGATCCGAAGACGTGCGCGAATGTACGCAAGCATGATGGCAGCGTACGTATACATTCGAACCAGCCGCACTTTTTATTTTTTCCCAAGAGATCCATCATTGACGCGGAGTCTTTTCACCCTCTTTCTATAGCACTGAAGGTTGCATTTCTTCCTTCCTCTCTAATGAATGCCAGCCCGGAAATGAATCTTGGAACTCCTTCCCGCATCACGAGCGTGTGCGCTCTTGTCCACCGAACTTGATGAATGTTTTGGCATCGGCCAGGGCGGCCACAGCGTGACACCTTTTCGGAAAGTAAAACGACGCCCCGCAAGACGTCACAGCAGAGGCCGCGGGAATGCGCCGCTTTTCACTGGAAGAACCGCTCTCGCGTGGAGTTTCACCGCCCCGAAAGCTAAATGGCAGTTCGGAGGATTAGCGAGCAGTAGCAGTTATGCAGATTGACTTCGAAGACAGATTAGAGTGCTGTGCGCGCCACAGTTACGCGAGCGCACCAAGAACAGCCACGCCCACCGGCCAGACGCATGGTTAGCTTCACATTGCGCAACCTTCAAGTTTGATCATTGTGATAGCGGGATATAGCGACAGCTGTTCGACGCTTCTGTGTGATTTCACGCTTGATGTCTAGCGAAAATTGTTTTCAGTTCGATGGAGACTTCATGCGGAACCTTGTTGCGGAGCTTCGATCACTTAAACTGAACGAGACAATGCGTCAAACGTTAGCAACGTGATAGCGACATTCGATAGCGACATCCTGTTGCTAGTGCGTATTCGAACACTTAGTGCATAAGACATTCTCGATTCCTACTACATGGTCTTAAGGAAATAAGCGCATTAGCTTGTGTCCCTTTTGTAGTGGGGTACCGGCTTTCAACCACGGACTCATCATGATAATCACATATTCTGACGCCCGTTCGCAATGAAAACATGTACCACGCATTATTACTTATGTGATTCTTAACGAGAAAAGAAGAGAAAAGTGAGCCCCGTAACTGTCTGCATCAGTGTGCGACACCTCAACAGTGGCTCACGAGAGATGGGGGCAATGAGATAGTAAAAGGATAGGATTAAAAGCTAAATAGATGGAGAGATGAAGGAGAAAGCGAGGCGCAGGGACAGCGAACGACAGAAAACGACGGAAGTAAGGAGGAGATAGGAAAGGTCGGACACGGTCGCTAGGAGCCCGAGGACGGGGCACCACTCAGCGAGAGTTCTTGTACGGCGGCAGCAGGAGATGGCGTAGGCGAGCCGGTCGGCCAGAGATGCGCTGTCGTCGGAGATCGCAAGGGCACAACCGGTCAGCACGAAATCCACAAAGCGAGTCCCATTATTACTGCAATATTTTATGTTGTATCTGAAGCACTGTATACAGGACGCGTGTTTTTGTGAAGCTACTTTTACTGGATTTAGAAGTTAATTTCACAGTTGTAACAAGCAGAGGCGTGGCCGCGTGGTAGAACATCTGCTTCCACGCAGATCCAAACA